GTAGAGTGACATGCTTTAATTCTGCTATTTGTTATGAACTAAGGTCTCATTTGGATTTTGGCGATGCATTAAATTTACATGATAATTTAAAAACTCAGAAGAATAGCTATTATGGTACAAGACATTATGAAAAACCAATTCGTTCTAATGATAAATCTTCAGTTGAAGAATTTGAAATTTTCAAAATTTCACCATTGAAATAATTAAAGCATTATTTTGAGAAATAAAATATTCATCTTTTTTATAATGTAGATTAAGTAAAAATATAATTTAAATGTTTTTTATTTCTTTAAAAAATCATAGTAAATTTGATCATATTTTTTTTTGTAAAATGTTCAAACGAAAACAATATAAAGATTATTATTATTTTTCAAGAATAATCTGCTCAAATTATTGATATCATTCTTCAGTACGATTTATTTATAATAATAAAATAATATTATTTATATTAAATTATTAATTATTATTTTTTGATTTATAAAATATCATAATTGAATGTTCTCTATCCTGATATTTATTTTCATGATATCAAATGTTTAGAGTAATAATTATTTAAATATTAATAAATTTATGCTTTATACTAAATCCATAATTAGATTAGTATTGAAAAAAATGCAAAACATTCATACTATTAATTACTAAACGAACTTATAGTGAGAGAGCGTGACAGCAAGAATGTAACCATGTTTTCATGATTTTTATTAAAGTTTAGAATAAGAAAATTTTAATATAGAAATTCAAATTTATGTTTAACAAGTTAATTTCTCAACAATAATTGAAAGTTTTTTAAAAATTCGATTATTATATTTTTAAGAATTTACTAGTAGAATATGAATAGATAATTTGATAGAGAAAATAACTAAACTGATTAAACAAAACATAATAATAAATAAATGCATTCTTATATTATGCTTTTTGCACTATAAAGAATTTTTTTTAATAAGCAAAAGCACTAAATTTTTTCAAGAGCTACATTCATGTTCACAGTGATCTTTCCACATTATAATACCTATACGTACTAGATACACAATGTACGGAGATTCATAAATGGTATTTACTGGTTTGTCAACTGACCCACTCAATCCTAGATAACTAATATGCCAAAGAAAATAAAATATTTTCTGTGCAAATATATACGTTGTATGGCTTCGAAGGAGTTTCAATGAATACTGAATTGCAATTGTTTTTTGATACAGCATTTGTAATATCTCTCTATACTATGTTTTAACAATGAATTTTATGCAAACTATGTCGCATAAATAATTTCTGCTGTTGATCCAAAACATATAGCATGTGATAGCAAACCATCTCTTTTTCTAATTCAATAACCGTTAATTGAACTTAATGTTTTTGCAATTATGTAAAGTAATATTTCCGGAATATCAAAAAGAGATCAACAATATAATAATAACCATTTAAGATTCATTATTTTTTCAACCCTTTCAAATATTTGTTTCATAGGATTCCATTTATATAGGACCCATCTTTGCCTCCTTCTGTCAGATGTAGGTTGATTCCAATCTAAAATTATTTTATGAATACAAGATTCACAATATTGGATTGTTTGATGTCATTTTTGACAATTGTTGTATTGTTGTTTTTCTACATAATTATTTCAATTCTATAATTAGAATCTACTCTCTATAATTATTAAGAAATACTTTTAAGTTCTATGAGATATGAATTATATTTAATCATATTCTTCTTCTCGCAACTGTTTTATGCGTATTGTAACCTTGGTTTATCCAAAACCCGTTTAATTTCTCATTCCATTTAATTTTTTGAGTAGTCATTTCCTATTCATTTAAATTAATATTACTTAAATAATTAATTAATTTTACAATCACGTAGTCTTATTTTAAAATGAAACTTTGTTCAACGAAAATTATGTCAAAGAGTTAAAAATGCCTAATATTCCTGTTAAAGTATTTAATTCTATCTTCAAATAAGCATAATTCTATAATTTTACCATCATTTTTTTTGATTAAAAAATTATAATAAATTAATTAATAATTTATTACTATCTTGTGTAAATATAAGTAGATTATATTCATCATGTAAACTAAGTAAAAATGTATATTACTTATTTTGAATTCATTCGTTTTTTTCATAAACTATATACAGTATAACCTCTCAAACTAAATTCTGCAATTAATTTATGCGATAATACAAATAGATGTTACTCCGTTCCGTTTGTTCTTATTCCTTTCTTATTCTTATTCTTAAATAAAAAAAAAATGAAGACAAAATTTTATGACCGTTTATCAGATGACCTTTGCTCCGTGGTTTATCAGGATTAATATCCCATTATTGTTTCATTAAAGTTGCATATTCGTGTGGAATGTACAATACATATTTTAATACTATAAAATGAGATAAAAATATATACAAATGTATTTGATTAAAAAAAATTAAAATATACTTTAAGTTTGAAACTCTTAGAGAGAATTATTTTTATTATTTTGTTTGTTGTTTATTTCGTTTATAATATCATGTCAATAATATATGTCACATATGTGATATAAAAATATTGATTGGAGTCAAATCAGCCCATACGAAATTTATTTGCACTTTTCAAAAGTTAATTATGACCATTGAATAATCTAAATTGCATGAATTTTTTTTATTTGATTTCCCTGATAAAGAGCTTTCTTTTATTATCTTGTTTATTAAAATTGGATGTTTTCTTGTTTAAAAATCTTGTCTTAAATAAAATTAATCAAAATTTTAAATTAAATTGTTTAATTGTTATATTAATCGATCTCAATAAATATTTATTGACATACCAAGTAGCTTATATGAAGTTGTAGCCTAAAACAAGAGCTACAACTTTTATTATTACGATTATTGATAATTATTAGTAAAAATCGGGACTTTATTTAGTCACGACTTAAAAAGATTGAAATTTACTGTTGATTATTTTATTATTTAAAAATATTAAAAGTTATCACATATAGAACTTTACTTAATACTAATTAAATGTTAAAAGTAATACTGAGTATCTTAAAGATACAAATAATTTGCATCTACTGTAGAGATTTAAGATCTATATCTTAAGAATTGATGGAATAATTAATAATTATTTTTTAAATGAAAATGCTAATTACTCTATCAATTTTGATAATTTTGAACTGAAACTGTTAAAGTAGATGCACAATAATATTTTCTTTAATTTTCTTTTTGGCATTTTATTAGTATAAAATAAAGTTTTATATATGATGACTATTGGTAAATTTCATTAAACAGTGAAATGATCAACAATGGCAATAATTTAAAATGTATAAATTTTTTTTTTTAAAATAATCCATGATTTAGGCTATCATATAATATCTTGTTTCTCAAAATTGGATACTTAGTTGAGCAGTAATTTTGGTTTAAATAGAATTAATCAAAAATATCAAGTTGAAACAATTGTCATAATGTCATTTAATTTCAATGAATATTTATCACAGATATCAACTATCTTATATGAATTTGTAGCTCATAATCTAGGCTAGAACTTTTATTAATACAATATTCAATATTATCTAATAAAAGCTAGAACTTACTTAGTAATAATTATGAATATTTTTATTAATATATTATTTTTAATAACTAAAATTTTACTTAATAAATTTAATTGAAATTTATATCATTTTATTCAATAAAATATAAATTTTTACCTTTTTTGTTAATATTTTGGTACAGCTTGAACTCTTCTAGACATATTTTCTGCTAAAATTTCTAAAATTTCCAGTTCAATTTTATACCACTCTTTTTCCAATATAGCTATTAATTCAGTAAGATTTTTTGATGGTGATTATATTTACAGACTTCCTTTCCAAAACATTCCATAGATGTTCAATTGGATTGAGATCTGGAGACTGTTCTGGCCAAGGAATATTTTTTACTGAATTATTTTGCATCTATTGTTTAACTATTTTTGCACAGTGAACAGATGCATTATCATCCTGAAAATTATATTCTAAGTTATTATCTAATTCATTAATAAATGGCAATAAATTATTTTCCAAGACCTCTATATATATAGAACCTGTTATTTTGCCAAAAATTAAACTAATGGTCCAATTTTATTTTTTGTAAAATATCATATACCATTATACCTTGATTTCCTGATTTTACTGTTGGAATTAAATAATTTACATCATATTTTTCATGTGGACAATGCAGACCCAGCGATGAGCATCATTTTTAAACAATAAAAATTGAGATAAATCACTCCTAAGGATGGTTAGCTCAATTAATATTAAGCTGGCTCAATTAATTGTGCCCTGGTTAATTGATTTTATTCTGCTAAATTCTATCTCAATTAATTGCACTGGCTAAATTCTAATTCAATTTAATTATGTCAGCTAAATTCCAATTCAATTCAATTGCACTAACTAATCTCTCTTTCTCTCTCTCTTTCTCTCTCAAAATAAAAACATCAAAACATCAACTTAAAATGTTAATAAATTTATAAATTCTAATATTACAAAAACGAAACATATACCATATTGTAACTAAAAACCAGAACTTTCAATCTATCATAAAAATATTATAGTAAAAAATTATTCTTTATTACACAAAATCAATTTGAAATTAAATATGAAACCAATTACCTTTAAATATCTAAAAACAATAAATTTTATAATTGCACCAGCCAATCAGAATTGCACTGAATTTGGACTTTGTGCTAGCATATAGCCATTGCACCTAATTGCACCAGGATTAATTCCTAGACTCAATTGGCTAAATTAAATCTGGTCAAATTCCTTGCTCAATTCATATTGCACCTACCATCCCTAATCACTTCAAATTATTGTATTCTATTCAAAGTTCCAATTTTTTCTAATATTACAACATTCTAATTCTTTTTCACAGTTTGCTTCAGATATTAAAGATTTTCATTTATCAGCTTGACCATAAAAACCTTCATTATGTAAAGTACATCTTATAGTAAGAGAACTTGTTGAAATTAATGATAATTGATTAAATTTTTCAGTAATTTCATCTAAAGATTACTGACGATCTTCATTTACAACTTTAACAAGTTGTTTAATATGTCTTTCTGTCAATTTAGATGGTCTACCTGACCTGGAAGCACTTGAAATTTGATTTTCAGACCTATAGTTTTCTATAATATTATAGATATAGTTTTGGGATGATTGAGAATGATTTCAACATTTCACTTCTTATGACCACCTTTCCAAAGACCAATAATTTTCCATGCTCAAATTCTGAGTTAAATATGGTTTTAACAAAAGTTTTAGCCTATATTATAAGCTTTAAGATAGTTGATATTTGTGATAAATATTCATCAAAATTGAATGACATTACAATAATTAATTCAACTTGATATTTTTGATTAATTCTATTTAAACCAAAATTACTGCTCAACTAAGTATCCAATTAGACAAACAAGATATTATATAATGGCCCTAAATCAGAGGATTATTTTAAATTCCTAATGATTTTGAAATCAAGCCATTGTTGATCATTTCACTGTTTAATGAAAATTACTAATAGTCATCATATATAAAACTTTATTTATTCTAATAAAATGCCAAAAAGGAAATTAAAGAAAATATTATTGTGCATCTACTTTAACAGTTTCAGTCAACATTGTCAAAATTGATAGAGTAATTAACATTTAGGCTTTAAAAACTAATTATTAATTATTTCATCAATTCTTAAGATATAGGTCTTGAATCTCTGCAGTAGATGCAAATCATTTGTGTCTTTAAAATTGCTTAGTATTACTTTTAATATTTAATTAATATTAAGTAAAGTTTTATATGTGATAACTTTTAGTATTTTTTTTTTAAATGATAAAATAATCGACAGTAAATTTCGATCTTTTTTAGTCGTGACTAAGTAAAGTCCCGATTCTAACTAACTACTATCAATTATTATACTAACAAAAGTTGTAGCTCTTGTTTTAAGCTACAAGTTCATATAAAATACTTGATATATCCAATAAATATTTATTGAGATCGACTAATATAACAATTAAGAAGTTTTAATTTAAAATTTTTGATTAATTTTATTTAAGACTATTATTCATTAGGTCATAATTAACTTTTGAAAAATGCTAATAAATTTTTAAAAAAGTTTTGATCCAATACTTTTGATAGGTAAGTGTATGAGACCTGACGACTGAAAGTGATCATTGTTTCTTTGATCTTCTGGGTGAAGTCTGCAAGAACTGTTGCAGGTCCAAACTTGAAACTATCACCTTTAAAATCTTGTCTGATCATACTAAGGAAGGCGTGACCAGTGATTTCTTCAGTATGTAAGATTTAATAATGACTATCATTATACTTTAGGTCCTTTCTCTCACACAAAAACTGGATAAATTGCTTTCTGAACCTCAGCTAACGTGAGAGTGGGTTCTCCCTCACTTGTTATAGGAGTATTTTTTTGGAAATGATACTTTTATAGGATTATACAAATATACAGATGCAGTAAAGTTTTCGAGTTGCTATTTGTCAGAGGAGGAAAAAGTAAAAGATTTTTGTTGTACATTGGAACCAATAACGCAGTCATATGATCTCGAATTTTGTATAATATTGCAAAGCTTCTGTTTGTTTAATGTATAATCCAGTTTGGTAATAGTTACACATATAGATGAACTATTAAATGATTTATTGAATATATCCAAATCTTAGCATCAGAAATTTTAAGAGGCAAAAATTTGCGTAAAATTTTTTTATATTATTTTTGCGATTATATTGAAAACATTACGAAAAAATTCAGAAATATTGTGAAAATTTTTTGCGCACTATTTGAAGGTGTCAAAAATTTGCATAAATTCTTGCCTATTAAAATTTCCTGATGATATTATCTCCATATAGGTTCTATAACCTTTTAAAATTATCTAATTTATTGCAGTCTTTAAGTGGCATGCACTGAACATAAAAAATTGCAATATTTTATTTGATAAAAAAAAAATCATAATTACAAACTTTATACTTAGCGTTCAGATTTTACAATATCAAAAAAATTAATAGCTAATACTTATAATTTATGTGTAAAATACAAATAAAAAATATATAATTGATAATTTAAATTAAATTTATAAATTAGATGTATCCAAATCATTTATCATCACCAAGATCATTGTTGTTATCATCATCATCATCGTCATCATCATCGCCGCCTAATTAAAAAAAAAAAGAAAAAGAAAATTAATTATGAGTTGAAATGAATATAATAAAGTATATAATTGATATTTACTATCACTTATTTCATAAAAAGATTTTGTTAATTCTTCAAGTTTCTTTTCAAAATTTTCATAATTTTTAGGTTTTGGAAGATTTGAAAAATTGAGAAGTCGACTGGTATAAATTGCTTGTGGATGTGTTTTATAATTTAAGGGAGTTGATGTTATTTCAGTTGATTGATTTTTGGAAAATTCCTCAGCTTCTTTAATTTGAATTGCAATTTTACTTTTATATTTAT